AAACTCATTAAGGCATGACCGGCTGTAGAGTCGACCAGGCTGTCGATCTTTGAAAGCGGATAACTGTCCTTTGGATATGCCTTGTTGAGGTCTATGTAATCAACACACATACGTCAGGTACCATTCGGCTTCTTTACAAGCACAACATTCGCAATCCAGTCGGGGAGACATGGCCATTGAACCCAGCGTCCAGCCACCTGACTTCTCTCCTCGCCGTGGTTTCTTTTCTTTTGCCGGATGGGCTTCTTTTTTGGGTCCACGGCGAGTTTGTGGCCTGCGAGATCCGGGCTGATGCCTGGAATCTCCTCCACTTCAAAGGCAAAGATGTTTTTGAATTCTTTTTGGTGCAAGTCTGCACCGAGCCTTTCAAAGGCAGCCGTCCCCACCTTAACCGTCCGCTCTGGACGATTGTTGTCTAGAGGGATATCAATGTGCTCACCAGCCGGATGGGGATGGAGATCATCTTACCGTTCCCTGGTGAGCGATTGTTATTTCTTTTCCTTCTTCACCTCCACCGGCTTTTCAGTTTTTCTTTTCTTGGCGGCTGCTGGAGAGGGTGAATCAGGATCCTTGACTTCGTTAAGGTCTATTGGCTCCTTCAGCTAACCGGGGCTGCAGAAGTAGTCGGCTTGACGTCTGAGAGATAGCACTCTCTTGCCGTCTTCTGATCCCCGTTGAGGGAGCTAACAGAGCCATCATCCCTTTCATACTTGAGAAGCATGAGAGCTGGGATGATGACGGCCTTGCACTCGTTCAGAGTGGGTCGGCCAAGAATGATGTTGTAGGCGGTCAACTCCTTAACCACCAGGAATTGGACGACCATGTGTCGTCCTTCTCCCTTCTCACCCAGCCGGATGGGAATGTCAATTTGTCTCACTGGGTGCACGACTCCTCCACCAAAGCCAACTAATGGGTGGGAGACGTAGCGCAGACCGTCCCGCTTGTAATTAAGCCAAGACAGAAGAGCGACCCGTGTCTACGAGGATCCGGCCAACCAACTAGTTGGCGACCTTGCATTAAATGACGACTGGGTCGTCATGCGGTCGGCGAACTGTGCCCCGATCTTTCTTAGTGATGAGGACGTCTGGGAATGTTCTGCTTGAGGACGACTGTCCATCATCAACTGAATGAATCATCCTCTTTAGATGACCCTTGGTGCCCCAGATGGTCGGGCCACCGCTTGCGAATCCGCTTGCTATGGTGTAGACCGGATCCTTGTCAGTACCCGAACTACTAGTAGGCTAGACAGTTTTTTACGACTGTCGCGGATTCGTCTTAGAAGCCGCTTTGGACTTCAAGACATAGGACTTCAGCAAGCCCTTGTCAGCCACACGGTCCAACGTCCGCTTGAGACTACAGCAGAATTTATTCTTGTTCCGCGACTGAACAGAACTCTTCATAGGATTCGGTTTCTCAATGGTCACTCGGTCCTTCACCTCTGTAAAGATGATGTAGCACATGGTTCAAATATGCGGTTTCGGTTACGATCACGGGAACGGTTGTGGTGTCGCGGGAACGCTTATGATGCGTTGATCGAGGACCATGTCACGGTTGTCTCAATGCAAATTTGATTTCAAGATAGTAGAGGATTAGAGCCATTAGTGAGGTGATATGGGGTCATAATAAAAGATTTGAGCCATTAGTGGGTAGATATGGGGGAATATTTCACTATATCTGTGAACTAGTTTAAGTCCCGTGCAATGCACGGTTAATATTAAATTTTATAAAAAAAAACTTTAACTCATAATACTAATTCAAAAATAAATATAACTTTAATTTTACATGTAACTTTATCAATGTCAAGATTAGTGACACTTAGACTTGATTTAAGAAAAAAAAAAAAAGTTTTTTGAAGTTTTTATTTTTTGTAAAAAAATTCTAAGGATAGTACCCGTACATGCTACGTTAGTATTGGTACGACTTTTAAGAGTAGAAAATAAAGTGTATATAAATCTTAACAAAATTATTTTATTTTTAATTGAAATAAACATTATTGCAAAAGTAACAAAATTGGAAGAAAAAAAAAAGTTTATAGTATTATCAAAGACTAAAATAATATATAGCAGTATTGTTTAATAATATTTACCTCATTTTTTTTACAAAAATAATACCAAATAAAAGATTACTTATATGTAAAAATATATTAGTTGGGTTTATATGGAGATTAATTATTGTTAAGAATTTTGAATAGAAGAAAGATATTTTAAATTATTATAAAATTATTTCCTTAAAGTATCTGCATAAAAATAGGAAGTAAAATGGGCGGGAAATTTTTTAATGAGATTATGACAAGTGTCATTTTAGATTCGCTTTTAGTATAGGTTAATGATAGAAAGTAACTTTTGTGTGAAATAATAGATGTAACTTTCAATGCGGGGTGATTTCGGGTTGAAATGTTTGATTCGGACAAAATCGCGATGTTTATTAATACCCCTTGTTGATGTGGACAATTGCGGCTCGGTCAATTGAATTTCCTTTACAAAACGGCCCAACCAAGACGCCGCGACCTTGTTTTTATACCATGGTGTAGCAGTCTTTATTGAATTCATACCGCAAAACATACAGTTTGAATTCTTTCTTTTTCTTTTAGGACGGTTCATCAGGTTCCTCAACCGCCCAAACATCTTTTCTCTTTTTGCTCTCTTCAGCTTTTTGAGCCGGGCTCAGCCCCGACTCTCCTTTTGTTTGTCTGGAGGAGCAGAGGTCAGTAGCTTGAATAAATCACTTTGCCTCTATCAACGCCTCTTGAAGGGTAAAAACCCTCTTATGGACAAGGTCAAACTTCAAGGTCGACTCATCTTTCAGACCCTTGAAGAAGTCTGTATAGGCTACCTCGTTGAATTCTCACCCGGTTAAACCGCCTAACATAAGAGCGGAGCCCTTCTCTATCCCGTGCGGATGGTGCTCAAGTCGAGACTTGTCTTTTAGGCAGGGATGTTCATCGAGAAGTTGGAGGCAAACAGGAGAGCAAGGTTCATGAAACTATCGATGCACCCGGCTGGCTCACAGGTTGCCGAACCATTGTTGGAGTCGGGAAGCACCGACACCACATAGCGTCCTCCAACCCCTGCATGTGCATGAGGTTGGAGTAGGCCATGAGGTGGTCCTTCGAGTTGGTGGTGCCATCATAAGCACCCACAACCACATTCTTAAACTTGGTCGGCTATGCAGCTTCGGTTATCTCCTTGGTGAACACAAAAGTTTGTTAACCAAGTTTGAGCAAGTTTGAGCACACAGAGCTAGTCCAAAGGTTGGACATTGTATGCCGCCTGACCCAAAGAGGGTCGGCTGCATGAAATGAGGAGAATACTGGTCGTAGGTACATACGGTGCATTCCTGATCATCTGAGTGAACAGTATTTACCGCCTGTATGGCTCTCATGCAAGGATTGAGCATTCCCTGCGGATGTATTCTTAAAGCTGTCTGGAAAGCTCGAGGTTGAGGCTGTCAGACAGCTGCCGACCTCTCCTGCGGGTGATGATTTCCCGAGCGTCAGAAATTGATTTTTTGTTACCCACTGGTTGTTCATCCCGGCGAGCGGTTGTTGTATTCTTCTGGGGTAGAAGAATCTTGGACCAGTCAAGGGTCCCGGCTGCCTTGTCCTTTGGATGAGGAGTTGGCTGCCTGACCATGGAGGAGGCTTTCTTGCCGACTGGCCCATACTTGGGCCAGCCTTGCTCTTGGTGATCAGATCCTTGATTTCACCCTTGAAACTAGTCATGAATTTTATGAGTTCGTCCCGGGTGGCTGGGGCGGATCCACCTGCCGTATGGGTTTCCCCTTACGGCTAACCAGGGGATCGACTTGTACCCGTGATGGATGCGCTTAGTAATCAGAGAGCCATCTTTGGCTATGTAGGTTTCGACCTGAGGATCATCATCCTCTTGGTCAGTAAAGACCTCCGGCTAATTAACCGGGCGGCCAGGAGGTGGTACAGACTCTTGAATCATTCTTGAGGTACTCTTTGCTCAGACGGCGCCAAATGATTTGGGTGTTTTTGTCCCTCGAGAGAGTTACAGCTCAGAGTCTGGTTGCGCACTGCCTATACCTGCAAAACAACGGAGACTTCGGGTGGTTGGAGCTTCGCCTCCGACGATCAAGTTAGTACTTGAAGATTCAGAAGAAGGTGCGGAAAAAGAGGTGAGATCTTCTCGGGATCCGAGATCAGGTTGAAGTCTGTACCACCTAGGGTGCGGGGACACAACACAAATGAAACAAGATGTTTCGCATGACATCGTAGATTACATATACACATATATTAAGCTTACTTAATTGTTAAATCTTGTTGAATTGCTTATCTAAAGCCCATTAACTACTTATATTCTACTTTTCCTTCTTCTTATTGTCATTTGCACAATATCACATAGCTACAGTTACTAACTACTCATATAGGAAAACATTGAAGAAACAAACAATTTATAGAAGATTTCGGAAACAAAGCTACTGAAAAGCGTTTTTTAAGAAGCTAGAACAACTTTTTGAGCACTAAGTCTTCAACGTGCTGAAGCATACTCAGGAAGAAATCACTTTGTTAAATCAAATAGTCATATTTCAGTGAATAGAAGGCGACCAAGAGAAGATGCAAATATGATCAAGGTACAAAAATGGGTAGTTGAAGGGAGGCAAATCCTTGATTTAGAATATATATTGATTGTACGAAAACATAAATCACTAGTCAGACAGCAACAAAGATATCATAACAGACAAAAGCAATGATAAGCGCTACGAAATATGTCATGATTCTGTTCAAACACAAGCATACACGCTAGCTTTAGGTTCTCCATATGTCCAGTAATGCTAGTAGGGTCTTAATATGAGTAACATTGCAGGATATATCTTGTAGAAATTCAATGCCCATGTAACCAAACCCCAGAATTCATAATTGAACACAAAATTCAATTTAACAAATTATGAAAGTAGTGTTCAATACTTCAATCAAAACAAGATAGTTAATCGGAAAATTAATTGCAAATTATGAAAGTAGTGTTCAATCAAATTACCTGCCCAACGCCAAGTAAGGTACAAGGTGGAGGAGAGGTGTGCCCAGAACATGAACCTACAGAAATTGACCCAAAATTACATAAATATTAATATAATTGAGCCGAAATTACATAAATTAATATAATTAACCCAAAATTACATAAATATTAATATAATTGAGCCCAAATTATAAGTTCAAAACAAATTTGAAGAACAATGAAATTGAGGCAGATTGCATTATAGAAAATGTGGGAATACCTGGAATTTGCGAAGGTACAGAATTCTCGGAAACTCTCACCGGCATTCTTCAAGAATCAAGACGGATGGAATAGACTATAACAGCAAACTACAGTGCGATTGAAGTCTTTTTTTTTTTTTTTTTTTTTTGAGGGGATTACAGGTTGAAGTCTTGAACGAACTTACCTATTACGTTAACATTATAGGTTAGTCCGTCCGTAACCTAGGCGATGAACCGCTATTCAATGTTACGGACGAACAAATTGAGGGGGTTCATCGCCTATCGGTAGGGGTGAGCATGGGACGGACCCTGTACCGTTAGTACTAACGGCTCGGGTACCCGATACCCAAAATCATTAAAAGTGATATCCATATCCCGAACTGATAAATTCGGGTAGCCGGACTTCGGGCACCCGAATTTTCGGATCGGTTATCGGGTACCCAATAAGATATCCAATAATGATAATTAAACTTAATTATGTAGTTATTATAATATAATTTACCACTAATTAACAACAATATCATATAATTTTGACCAAATTATTAATAATATTACAAATCATTGATATTATAAAATAATTATACAGTAAAGTAAGAGTTTAGTTTTGAAAAAAGATAGATTAAAGTAGGGGAAAAAGGCAAAAAAAATGCTTATCGGAACGGATCAAGTAACCGTTAATTTTAAAATGATACCCAATAACCATACCCGATAACAAATTATCGGAACGGGTACCCGAACGGTTATGATTATCATATCGGGTACCCTAATTTTCGGAACGATTACGGATCGGTTTTTCGGGTTTTCGATTTTTCGGGTAGTTTTGCTCAGCCCTACCTATCGGTCCAAGACTGGACTGGACCGGATCGAAAACCGAAAATTAGAATTTCAAAAATCGAAAATCGGACCGATTAAACTAGAATCAAACCCAGATTGGAGAAAGAATCGGTCCAAAACCCGGACCGAATCGGACCGCTTTGGACCGATTTAAGAATTTTTCAAAAAAAGAATTCTAATTTGTTAATACTAATTTAATGGATAACTCAAAAAAGTAAAGGAAAAGCTACACTTTAACCTTTTTTTTTCTTTAATACAAAAAAACTCATAATTTTAAAGGTTTCTAAGCTTATTATCTTAACCATTATTTAAGGTTTCACACATATTTTTAATAAAAAAAATCAGTCCGGTCCAAGACCGTTATTTATAGGGTGATGGACCGGATCGGAAAAATAAATTTTTGGACCCGAAGACCGGTCCGAGGTGGTCTGGTCCATTTTATCGATCCGGACTAATTTATGAACACCCCTAACTGAATCTATGTATTTTCAGATCCGGTACAATTCCAAACTACTCCCTCATGTGTTTCTTTTAAATGCATCACTTTCATTATAAGAAAAATTATCTAAAATGTTTAGGGTAAAAATACCCTAGACATGTGGCTGAGAGACACGTGTCACTCTAGGATGGGTCCAACGTGGACCATTCCTCAGCCGACATGTGTCAGCCTCAGATGACAAATGGAATGACGTCTGCAGGGCCCAACCCAAAAACGCCGCAAAATGGCGCAACCTATTAGTGGAGGGCACATTTTCTAACGACCCTATAAATAGGAAGATTTCACCCATTTTGGTGACACATACGATTATTACAACAACCCAACATTTTCTCACATTAGAGAAAACACATGATCTCGGAATCCAAGAAAATCTTGCATTTATCTTTTCCACACCTTTTCATCTTCTACGACCAATACTAACTTGTTTGTCGGAGACGGAGCTCCTACCAACCAGAGTCTCCGTGTTCTGCAGGTACAAACCGCGTCGGACCAGTCTTGGTGACGTAACTCTCCTGAGGGACCAAAAAAACACCCAAAACATTTAACGCCATTTGTGGGGAGAGTACCTCCAAGATGGTTCAAGAGTCTATACTGCCGCTTGAAATGAACCGGCCTAGAGCCGATGGGGAGGTCTATACAGACCGGGATACATACAATGACTGTGAAGTCGAAACCCATGTGGCCCCTAATGGGTCACTCATCTCTAAGCGCATCCATCCCTGAGATAGATTTGAACAAATCAACAATGAAGCTGGTCCTAACAAGACTGTTGGAACACCGCCTGCGAAAGCCAAACGACAAGGGGTCAGGCTCTAGTCACCCGAGACAAACTCATGAAATTCATGACAAGTTTCAAGGATGAAATTAAAGACCTGATCAACAAGAGGACGACTGACTCTAACAAGGGTCAGTCGGCCATGAAGACCCCTCAAGCTGAGAGGAGAAAGCCAATCAGAGATAGGCAGCCTACTCCACATCCAAAGGAGAAGGCCACACCTGCCATTGATTGGTCCAAGATCCTTCTGACTCAGACGGGCAAAAGGAAGGTTGTAACACCCCTAAATCTCCCTCTACGGAATTACTAGTATAATACGTATAATTATACCGTAGAGATAGACTTGGGCGTATTACCGCCGCGTGATTACGCAAGGCTACTTAAAATACTTAACTCAACAACAAAACTTGCAGCGGAAACTCAACTTTCTTTTATTAATACTTATAAAAATAGTAACATTTTTATGAGTGCTAAAAAAATAAAGACAAGACCAACATTTCTAAACTAGGTGAAGCAAATCACGGGACTCCCATATGCTCATCCATGACTCCACCTGAAAATAGTCAACACTGCTTACCATTACGGTAAACATGGCGAACCTAAACAAATAAGAAATACGGATTAGCAAATTATGCTAAGTACTATAAGTGCAAGATAGTGTAAACTTAATTGATTTGCAAACATGTTTTTAAAACCAATTCCAATAATTAATCCAATAAATTCAAAACTCATTATTCCAAAACCGATTCCAATGATTCATATTCAAAATAATAGTTAATAAAATCAATTACTTTATTAAGAACCAATTCCTTTTGATTAGGGGATTTTGCTCCCACCAATCGGAATGCGCCACGTGGACCAATCAGGTCCTGCCAAGTGTCCCCCAGTTGGAACAGTTAGGGCTTCCCACGTGGCACGCGCTTATTCGTCCACCTTGGACCTGTTATGTCAAGACATGTGGCATACTCCATGCCTAATGGAGAAACCGGCCACCCAGGCCCAACTTCCGAGGGAAGCCCAATCGGCCCTAGGTTTACCTAAACCTAGGATGGGCACGTTTTCCAAGGTTATAAATACCTCCCTTAATCCTCATTAAGGGGGAGAATAGAAACATTACGGAAAAAACACATTAATTACACACAGTAATAACCGGCTGATCTCGCTAACAAAGCAGATTACCTACATTAAACACTCTCACCTAGAGAGACCAAATCACTTTAATTTCCGCATTAATTACTCCTTAATCAGGTACTAACTTGACCGTTGGAGGCGGAGCTCCCAGGAGTCTCCGTTATTTTGCAGGTACAGGCGTCCGGTTCCAGTCTCGGAATTGTAACTCTCCCGCAGGACATCAGAAAACCCCGAAACATTTGGCGCCGTCTGTGGGGAGAGTACTTCTGAGATGGCATCCAAGTCTTTACCGACTCCTGAAGAGAGGCGTCCCCTAGACGACCCTCAAGTTCAGTCGGACCATGATACCGAAAGTGAATTTGAAGTTGAAGCTCATACAGCTTCAGACGGGACCCTAAGGGCCCGACGTACCCGTCATACCGACAGGAGGGAACGGGAGCATCTTCAAACAGGAAGCGAGCCAGCAGGCGCACCGCCTGTTCGGCAACAGCCGACTGATGGGTCTGCTCCCATCACAAGGAACGAACTCATGACCTTCATGAGGGACTTCAAGGGAGAGATTCAAGAGTTGATCAACAAGAAGTCGCCTGCTCCAGTCAAGGAGCAGTCGGCCAAGAAACCCTCCACTTCACTGAAGAGGAAGCCAGTTCAAGGGCGAGAGGCGACTCCTCATCCTAAATCTAGGAAGCGGGAGCCACCTGCCCTTGATTTCACAAAATTCCGTTATCCTACAGGAAATAGGAAACCTGTTCGTCATATTCAGGCGGACGGGTCGAAGCAAACATTCACAGATGCTTGGCTACTGCTAGAGCAGAAGAAGAGTGACCGATTGTCAGAGTCGGCCTCTACTTCAAACTTTCAAGACAGTTTGCGAAATGCCTCGATGAGGCATACTCAGTCGTACCATGAGAGTCAGTCAGGCGGCACCTCCTGTCAGTCCGGCTTTCATAGTGACCAGGCGGTACCAAACTTACCATTTGTGCCGCAACAACAATATTTTTTGCAGCCACCTCCGTTTGGTGGACCTGCAGCAAAAAACGTCCAACCTATGGACTGGCAGCTACGGTTGCTTAGACTTGGTGAACAGCCGTCGGCCTTCTCCAAGGAAATTACTGAAGCCGCTCGGCCGGCCAAAGTGAAAAATGTACTAGTAGGCGCCTATGACAGCACTACTAACCCAGAAGACCATCTTATGGCATTCACCAACCTGATGTACCTTCAAGGGTTGGATGATCCCACAGCAATGGTTCGGCAACCTGCCGACTGGTTGTGTAAATAGCTTCAGGACGCTTGCTTACTTATTTGCCTCCAACTTCGCCATGAACATCCCTGCGAAGAAAACGACCCTTGATTTGGGAACAATTCAGCAGGGCGAGAAGGAGGGGCTTCGTTCTTACATCAGGCGGTTTAACCTGATGAGAATACAGATTCAAGGGTTACCGGATGAGGTAGCTTATACTGACTTTTTCAGAGGTCTCAAAGACGGGTCTACCTTCAAATTTGATTTGGTTCGAAAAAGGGTGGCGACTCTTCAAGAGGCCTTGATTGAAGCAGAAGCCTATATACAGGCGACTGATCTTTGTACGATAAAACAGTCGGACGGGAAAAGGTTCGACAAAAGAGAAGGACGACAGAAACAGTCGTCAAACAAAGATGAGAAAAGAAAAGAGGTTTGGGCGGCTGATTCCTCTAAACAGCCGGCCCAGAAAAAGAAAAAAGAATTCAAACCATACTCCCCAAAGTATGCGTTTAACAAGGATAACCAGTTTATCCTAAAAGAAATCAAGGGACGGATCTCAATTGAGAAGCCGGTCCCCATGAAGGGTTCTGCAAACAACCGAAACCAAGATAAATTCTGTGCTTATCATGATGATGTTGGTCATCACACCAATGACTGCATCAGTCTCATGCGGTACCTAGACCGCCTGGCTGAGCAAGGTGATCTTGACACTTATGTCAAGAAATCCGCGGGGAACACTTCCTCAAAAAAGCAGTCGGCCAAAAAGAGTCAACAGGCCGACAGCTCCGATACAGATGATGCAGTCGTCTACACCATTGCAGGCGGCTTCTCAGGAGGCGGCCCCACTATTAGGGGCAACAAAGACAATATCAGGCGGTTAGATGTAAATTCCGTTCACCAAG